ATATCTATATCTATATCTATATCTATATCTATATCTATATCTATATCTATATCTATATCTATATCTATATCTATCTATCTATCTATCTATCTATATATATATATATATATATTTGGTCAAGTTTACCAATCTTATACTTGTCTCTATGAATGGCACATTAACCTTTTACAACCTGCTACTTTCCATATTTGTTTGGAATTCTACTTAGTTGCGAATTGTAATCCCAATCCATTTGGAAAATGCTAAGATAAAAAAGGCTGTGCCATATTTTACTTTTGCCGCAGTCATTCACTCATGTGCTTGTCAAAGTGATATTTTTTAAAAACAATGGTCAGATTTTGACGTTGCTGTATCAAGGCTATAACTTGACCAGTCTACTAATTCTTTAAAACTCAGCTATTACTTGTACATTTAGTCCACATGATCAAAGCTAAAGAATATCAGAAATAAAATTTATGTGACACCTGTAGGGCATATATTTTCTATTCCTACTCTGGTAGGTCTTTGGGTTTCCGGCATGCACATGTGCGCTGGCCAGCTGGTCTTTGCGCTGGAGCACCGGAAATCCAAAGAGCAGCTGGCTGGTGCATGCATGCGCTGGAAACCAGAAAAGCAGCTGGCAGTGGCGCATGTGCCTACAGAGAGGGCTCTGCGTGCCACGTGAAATTAATACTTTTAGAATGTATGTGTGCCATACATTCGCCATCACGGATATAGACATAGGTTGGGCTGAGTGAAATTGGCCCAAAGTCACCCAGCGAGCTTCTATAATAGGGCAGGTGTGATTCTGAGTTTTCCTGATGCTAGTTACAAAGTTAGAGTGTTACCCAAGCTCTAAAACTGCACTTTCTAAGCAGATTAGAACCTGCTAAAAACTAGGGAGAAAGAACAAACCACTACAAAGCAAAAACAATGAGGGCAGTTCTTTGCAAATTACTCAGCTATAACTCTCAGCAGGACCCAGAGAGCCTTTTGATGTGATCATAGCATTGTATATTAGCTGAGGATTGAAATCCTTAACATAATTTACTTAATGAACAAACAAACCTTTTAGACACATTGGGGATAAACTGTGAGAAAACATAGGATTGCACAGTAAAGGAAACAGCAATGTCATGCCAAGTTAATTTAATTATTACTTGTTCCCTTGGGTTGAGATGTCTATTTCATGTCATTTTTATTTCTCCTTAATGTGCTTTGTTCCAGTGATGGGAAAAGAAAAACCAAGAGATTGGTGCTATTGACTGAAGGGCAAGAGAGTCAAATGGACCAGGTAAACTCTCAATAAACTGGACATCAGATATCCGGCAGGCTATCAAATAGCAGGCACATAGGCTGAATTTATATGGAAAACTATTCCACTTGGCTGCAGAACTGAAATCAATACCTTTTAGACATATCACCAAGATCAGACATAAATCTCGATTATATGGCTCTAAGTAGATTAATTTAAATTTTGAAAGAGTTCTTGACCTACAAATACCCTGAACTGCTGAAAGAACACACCTACTTAGCTTTAGTGTCTTTTCTTTACTTTTATTTATGCCTGCCATAATCAGGCATCTGGTTTTGCAACATATACTTCAGAGGTCTCCTGTAAAAAAAATAGTGTACAATTCCAACTAGACATGATTTAATGACTTATAATTTGAATAACAGCTAATGCTTCTATTAACCACAGCTCTATCCTGAGGAAGTATTGCAAAATGCTTATGCTGCAACTATACAATACAATACAATAGCAGAGTTGGAAGGGACCTTGAAGGTCTTCTAGTCCAACCTCCTGCCCAGGCAGGAAACCCTATACCATTTCAGACAAATGGCTATCCAACATCTTCTTAAAGACTTCCAGTGTTGGGACATTCACAATTTCTGGAGGCAAGCTGTTGAACTGATTAATTGTTCTAACTGTCAGGAAATGTCTCCTCA